GAAGCGGGGGGAAGTATGACTGGGGGAGGGGGCGCAGTGACTTGCTGGTGCCCTGCTCTTGCCCGTTCTGTTGCCTCACACTGCCAAGCCCCGCCTGCCCTGCCCCTCCCCCTGCCCCAAGGCCATGATGATGGCCCTCACTCCCAACCTGGAGAATTTTAACAAAATGCCCGGATGAAGGTCAGAGGGCTCAAAAAGAGGACATGTCTGGGAAAACACGGACATATGGTAACCCTACCATTAAAGTAATCCCAAATTGCTTTTCCTCCACAGACCCATGAGAATCGTGAACACCTTGTAATGATGGAAAAAATCCTCGGGCCAATTCCATCTCACATGATCCACAAAACTCGGTGAGGACCAGCCACTGAACTTTGAGCAGCTAGCTAGTCTGTCTTTGTGTGTGGGTGATGGTTAAGTAGGCAGAATACCAACTCCTGAGACCCTGCCTCAGAATCCTAATTCTATGGTTATAGTCCAGGAAGGACTATTGTGGGGTCAAGAAATGATTTAAGAAATTTCTTATAACATGTTGAATAAACCTCCAGGGAAAAATAGCTGAGCAGTCTGTGAATTATAGAGCTCATTATGTACCACCCACAAGGAGACCTTGGCTGTGATTTTTCTTTCATGCTGAGTAACTATCCCAAGTTAAGATGACAGTGAATTTTAAAGTAAATAAAAGCACAATTCTGACGCATCATAGGAGTTTTCAGGCAGCTTGGCCTGATGGCCAAGGTATGACAATGGAAGGTGGGTGACTAGCTACTTTTTCTGCTTTGCCACTGACCTGATAGGACCTTGGATATGATTTCACTGCTGTGCCCATTTTTTGCTCTCTGTACAATGAGAACAATACCACCTTTTATAAAATACTTTTGTAATATATGAAACGTTCCATGGAGGGAGATGCTCTATTATTAGCCATTATGAGTCTAGCTTGGCTTTTTAAATGGCTCTTCTGGATAGCTAAAATGGCAATTCAGGTGGCTGATATAATGCTCTAGGATTTGCATTCTGAAATACTTGAGAAAAGAACAATCTCAGGAAGCTTTTGACTCGCTTAATAAAGGTAGGGTAGATTTGCACTTCATAGATGTGTTGTCATTTTGCAGTGTAATGTGTGATTGTGTCATGAAGTCAAGTATTAGGACTGGTGCCTTATCTTAAAGTGAGGTTGTGCTTTCCCTTGGTCCTCCCTCTTGTGTATGGTATTTGTCTGGATGCTTTTTTAAGACTCTCAAATGACTTCCTTCATTGTACAGGAAACAGAAGTACTTCCATAATGGGAACCTGGTGTGGGATGAGAGCACATCTGATGGAAGATATGTCCAAGAGAACTGCAAACCACTGCGGGTAAGAAATGCCCAAGTGCTTTGGTGTAGAGTGTGTAGGTGGCTCTACAGTGAATTCTCTTGTTCCTTGCTCCTTGTTAATCCCGTGTATCGCCTGCAGTGTTCTGGGAGTCAAAAGCTGCGGTGTGCTGTTGTCAACATCTAAATGGCAGGGGAGACTGTTATATTCTTCTTAGTTTGGCTTTTGAAAGACTTGGTAAAATGTTGATTGGTGAGTCCCTTGGGAATAATTATTCAGTCTTTAAAGAGCCTAAATCAGTGCATTTTAATTGCCTATGGCCCTATTCCAAAAGAAATGGTCAGTTTGTAAAGCCTTTGCATGTTTTCTTGCCATTATGCACTAACATAGAAGCTAGTAGTGGATGTCAAGCTGGCTGTCTCCCTTTGAAGCCAGTGTGGGACTGCTGCTCGGTGTGTTCTGGTGATTTTTGTCCTCGTACAATTTGCTGGAAGCAGGCTGGCTCAATATAGGACACAGGATTGAAAAACACAGTCTTGGGCCCAATGTCCAGCCATTCTGAACACCTGCCACTTCAGTTGACCTCCGTGAGAGCTGCTGTTGCAGGTGCTGTGTACAGCCTGTATGTACATTTTGGTGTTCTCTCCTTGTACATATTATTGGCTCACTGTGGCCTTGGTGTCTTTGTTTTCCAAATTAAGAATTGGGATGGTGATAGTGATGGCAAGAACTGTGTGGAGACATAGGGCTTATGATTGTCAAGAGATGGAACAACAAAGGGAGCTGGGGGTGTGTAGTTAATCTAATTAGTATTACCATCACACAGCTGCTGCTTGCTGAGAGGGACCTGGGGGGAGAATAGTCCCCTTGCAAAACCGGCACCACCACTATCTTCCAGTGAATCATACCTTCCAAGCACAACAGCTCTCAGCTTGGAAGGCTGCAGGGATTTTTGCAGGATCTAATGCCAGCATATGTGTGTAGCTCCCTCAGTCAATTTAGGACAGCATGTTTTTTTTAAATCTCCTGGAAGGCTGCAGCTCAGAAGTCTTTACTTAGTTCAGTCCCTGCTCTGTCCTGATAGAAGAGCCGTGCATTAAAGAGGGTTAATCTGGTGGTAGGTGTCAGCACAAAGCTCAAGAGACCCGAGTTCAGTTCCCTGCTCTGCTACAGGTTTTCTGTGTGGACTTGGGGCAAACTCTGTGCCTTGGTTCCTTTTGCTTTTAAGAAGTGGGGGTGATGGCACTTCCTGCCTCCACGAGTGTTCTGGGGAATTGCTAGGTTGTGAGCTGCTTGGGTAATAATGAGGCTACAAGCTAGCACAAGGAAAGGTGCTGCTCCCAAGTGATCTCCACACCTGTGTATGTGGAAGTGGGCACCCCCTGACTTTGCACTCAGAGGTGATAATTGGACAGTAATATGTCTTGCTGTGTTGTTGCTTGGTGCTGTATTATATAAAGATGGCCTAGCCCAGAGCTTTATGAGCTAATAGGAGAGGGGGAGCAGGTTTCAGTGACCCATATCCAACCAGCTACTGATAGTAGGCTGAATGGAAGCTGCACTGAGGCGCTGATATGCATGTATGTGTGTTTTTTTGGGGGGGTCACCTTCAAAAATAGTCTGAAACCCTTCTTTGCCCCCCCACCCCTATTTGTCTGAGCTGCTGCTGTTGCCACAGGAAAGAGGGAGTTTCCAGCCCCACAAAGTTTTGCCCTTCCTGACTTTGTCAGCTGTCTGCTTGTGATGTGGAAATAAAGGGGCAACCTTTGGCTTAAAGTCCCCTCCCTCATCATTCTTTCATAATTTCCCTTGGCTTTAAGATTCAAGGTGCAGTCACTGTAGTATCATGCCATGGGTCTGTTTGGAACCTCTTGGAGCTGTTCACTCCCAGCCTCTTGTGGCAGGCTGGAAAACTTCAGCCCTAATGGTACCAGCACCAAAATGTACTTTGATTTTTTGATCTTGTGAAGTTGGCAAGAGTACCTGAGCTCACATTCCCTTCTTCACTATGCTGTCCTCTTGTTTTCAGACCTACATGCTGCATGACTCACTAGACCACCTGCAGTTCTTTGACCTGATGAGAAGGATGTTGGAATTTGATCCTTCCCAAAGGATCATGTTCTCTGAAGCACTGATGCACCCATTCTTTACTGGCCTGTCTCCAGAAGAAAGGATGCTGTGTGGCCGGGACTCAAGCCGTGACCTGAGCAGATGACAGATGGGGGGAGGGTAGTGATGCCTTCAGCATTTGTACATACTTGTGGATCAGTTTGACCTCTGCAGTAAAGGCTCCAGTAGCTCTCCTGTAGCACAGAGGTACTGGTGCAATGCAAGATGGACCCTGGGCATGGGAGGGGAAGAAAAAGCTACATGGAAAGCACAGATTTGTCTATTTATATGTTGTAAAGTTAAAATAAAAGTGTTTCTTATTGTTTGATAATTTACTTGTATGGATGTGTAGCTATTTTTGCTCCCAATCTGCCAGCCTCTTCTGTTAATAAAGAGTGGTTTTATATTTATCCACAACTGCATTGTTACCAACATGAGAACTAATTTTGCTGGTTCAAGGTAACCTTGTATTATTTTTTTTGGAAGAAGTTTGAGACAGTACAAAGTCAGTCTTTTTTCTGTTGAGTTGATAACAAGCTCCAGAAAAGAGCTGTGTGAACTGATGCTAATCTTGAAGTTTGAGTGAGTAGCAGAGAAGGATCATGTCTACTACATTATGATTTTTCTAACCCTGTTTCCTCTATTTAGTACTGGAAGAGTATACAAAGGGTGTAAAAGCCCACCATTTACCCAAGCCACTGCTTCAACATATATGAGTCACCTTAACACACATGAACAGTTGCGCTTTATTTCAGGGCTGGTATTTCCCCAATAGCTGCATGAATTAGTCATTACAAAACAGTTTTCCATGAATGACATTGACTGATTACAGTTGTGCATTTACCTTTACTCAGTGACATGAGATGAGGTTCCTCCATTGCTTTTGAGAAAAAGAATATGAATCGCGTTGTTTTATAACAAGCTTCAAGGAAGTGATGCAGAACTGACCTCAGTAACAGCTGCCCCTCTGCTTTCTAGAAGTGAGCTGGTGGCTGCCAGTACCCTTGTGAGGGTGGTAAAAACCTAGTCATGGCAATACAAAAACCTAATTAACACCCTTCACCAAAATAAACTGTAGGCTTTATTAGTAAAGACTGCTGATAAGTGGGAGGTTGAGTGGAGGATGCACCCTTTCCACTGGATGTAGTAGATGCAACAGCAACATACACCTGCTTCAGCTTGCAAGACATAATGTACACCTGCAATAAGCTGCAGCAAGAAGAGACCAGTGCCTTGGTTCCTCTGTCAATAATCAAATGTGTCAGAGGAAAGACCAATACAGTCTACTCTTGGTGTGAATGAATTATAAAGCTTTAATTAAGACCACAAAAGCCTAGTCTCAAAGTGCAGTAGTTCTGGTGCAGAAGAGCAGTGAGCTAGTCAAACAGTGCTCCAACTGATCATTCCTTAGAAGGGATCCTTTCCCTTACCACTGCAGCAGATGTTTGAGATCTCCTTCTGTGTAACACTAACCACTTTTAAGTGATACTTCAAACAATTCCCAGAACCACTCTGTGGGGCAAAAAAGGGAGCTCTTAGCCAGTTTAAGTGTGTGGCAGTGGCCAAGGGCTTCAACACTTAGAGTTAGAGCCCATTCAAATTGTACTAGTTAGTTGTATAACCAACTCTGGACTGGTTCAGAGACACATGCTTGGAAAGAAGAGTGATGTAGCAGAATTAAGGCTATGCTACTGCTATGATCGGCCACTTGAAACATTTTCATCTCATTTATTTAGTCTTTTCACCCTCTGCTGCTTTGAAAAAGGGCTTTGCTGCTGCAGCATTTTAATGCCAGGGGAAAGCACAGGAAAGCCTTGACTTGTACTTTTTAAATGGTACAACCCACCACTGTGCTGCTGCTAGTCATGACAGTCTCACCAGCCTCAAATGCAATTAGGCAGGTGCTCTGGGCCTTGCTCTGTGGTGCTTGTTCTAGAAGGAGGCAGCAAATAAAAAACAGGATGCAAAAAAACACACCAAGTCAGAGTATTACTGAAGAACTTGGTCACTGATAGTCTCAGCGTTAGCACTAAAAGGCCATGATGCATAAGCCGGTGTCCACGGTCCCAGCTCAGGTTTGAGATAAACTTGCTAGAACCATGGGTCCCAAAACCAGATGGGCATAGCCCTTATTCTCCTGAGGTAGATACAGTGCGTTCCATGCCATGGGACATGGGAGGTCCTTTAACTGAAGCCTTACAGAGCAGAGTCCTGCAAGGACAGTAATTACTGCAAGAGTACATTTGGGAAGAGCAGAGATGTCTCCCAATGCCCTTGCCCAACACTGGCATACTGTATATTATGAAGAGACCAGTGATTATTTTTCTAGGGGTACAGGTCAGCAGTGCTAGACAGATTACTTTGCGATGTACTTTCCCCATTTGCAGGTCATGCTGAGCACTGCTCAAGGAAACACAGCCTACTTCCCTTTGATACAGGAAACCTCTTCCCAACCCCTTCATATTTCACCTTGCTCCGTCCATTCAACGTACTCCACCTTTGTTCAGTGACAGCTTCTTAAGTCAGTGCGAGTAGTGACAGGGTTGGGTCCAAGTGCCTGCCTTGTCCAAGCATCACAATGCAAACCCCATGCACCCAGACACATTTGTGGTTAAACAGGGTGCTTTAAAAAGCTGCTCCTCTTCAAAAGTGCAGTTCCCAAAGAGCTTAGCAAGACGTTTCCTCCTTTCATAGAGAATACCTGCCCTATGCTTCAGAGGAAACCATGCTCCCCTGGGAAAGGCACCAAACAAAGCTTGGAAATTCTCCACAACACTGCTTGAAGCTAGCTTTGTTGCCAGGACTTGGCTGCTTCCAGTGCAGGCCTAGTCGCAGACCAAAGGCCGAACTTTTGAGCACTGCCTATGCTCGGGAGAAGTCCGAGCAGCTGCAGTGCTTGAAAAGCACCCCACCCCGCACAAGAGCTACTTCTCACCCCACTTCCCACATTTTCTATAAAGGAAAAAGGCAGAAAGGTGGAAGCTCAAGTGAAGCTTTTTCTGATAGACTCCAGGCAGGTTTAAATGCTTCTTGCTAGCCAGAGATAGGATTGGCACCTTTAGAAACTAGAAAGGGGTCCAGCTGGATGGACTGACGAAGTTGGCCCAAAGGCTTGTCAGATCCCTTCGGCTCTAGACACTGCCCCAGGATGCTCTCAGTGTGTGAGCACAAAACACTTTCCTGGCAGCACAAAAAGGGGAAGGGGAGTGTGGGGGTGGGGGTGGAAAAAACCCAAACAAATCAAAATCAGTGCAGCACAAAACCAGCTAGAAAATGCCAGAAAGGATCAGACCCAGGACAGGATTTCAGGTGAAAACCTCTCACCTTGCTCAAGAACAAGATGCACTAGCTGTAGAGACCAGAGTGGCTGTGCAAGGAACACCACAGTAAATACCTCTGCAGACAGCATAACAAAGCCACTTGCTTGGTATAAACAGTGCACATTTAACACACTACATTCACACAAGCTCAGGAGACCACATGCCTAGGCAGTTCTAGCCATAGTGAGGATACATGGGGAGGAATCTTTGTCCCTGCTAAGAATCAGCTGGAGCCTTCCCCCACTCAAGCCTTCCCCTGTTTGCATATTTATATGCGCTGCAGTTGACTCTGTTTTTACAGCCTGCCTCATCAGGACAGGCAAATGCCTTACAATTTCCATTCCAAGCAAGATCCCAACCTAAACTGAAGGCCAGATTTTTAAAGGTATTTAAAAATACCATCTTCAATGGGAGCAAAGTATCTAAATACTTCTAAAAACCTGGTGTTAAGCATACATGTAAGGGAATAACCCCCCCTTCACATGGGCTTTGCTCTCAAAGGACATGGAACAATGATGTCCTTTACAAGCCATTTATTAGCTGGGTGGGGGAAGGGGGAAGAGGGGAGTGAACAAGCTGGTGTCACTACCATACACAGGTACTCGGCACAGTAGCGTGTCCAAACAACCCCTGTGCCAAAACACTGGGTATTAAAATTAGCATAATTCTATCAGCCTGTTCCCCTGCACTCTCTCAAATCACCAAGATTACTCACCCTGCTGGAGGTGGGGAAAATATCCACCTTGGAAAAGTTCCTTTCCAAAATGGCTTTTCTGGCAGAAGGGCCAACATAGCAAATACACCTCCTTCCCCAAGACATGGGCATCATTCACAAAGCAAGCAAAAAAAAAAAATCCAAACAAAAAACCAAACACCCAAGAAACAAAAGCCAGAGGGCAATAAGCAAGTACTGGCATAGGACTGCCAAGTAGCCAATACAGGTGCTGGGAAGAGCATGGGACTCTTTATACCTGCTCTCAAAAGGCAGAGCCTCAATCTTCACAGGCTCAGTAGCTCTAGAAGGCAGAATCTTAGCTCCAATTGTTTTCATGGAGGAAAAATATAAAATCAAAATAAAGGAAAAAAAAAGAGTAACAAAAACATTTCTACATGATTATGGGATGCTGCTCCCCAAAGGGGCCCCCAAGCTGGGCAGAAAGGGTTCTCCTTAATGAACTGAACCCCAGATCATTCTCATTATCTTGTAACTCTCCATACTAGCTGACAGCCACTTGCATCAGCAAACAAAACCTTCCTCCCTCCTCAACAGCCCTCTGGCTGGTGACCAGGTGCCAAACAGCCAGTGCTGCCTTCCCCAGCCAAAAAGACACCAGCTGCCTGCACGTTCTTTCATACGATGTCATGAGAGAGTGAAAGCATCTTGCAGGAACATTTTGCTCCCTTCACTTTGTGTTTAATACGTACGTTTCTTCTGGAAGGAAAAAGAAAAGTCTGTTCCCCCCACCCCAGAACTTCACATCCTTAAGGCGTCAAGAGTTTGCTAGTCAGGATCCATTAGACAGCTTGTTCGATGGGGTTCTACCCCCACCTCTCCCCTCTGAGCTGCCTTGTGGGATCAGCTCTAGGTTGAGTGCAAGGGGATGACAAATTTGCAGCCAAAGGGCGAGTGGTAGTTGATTCCCACTTCCTGAAAGACTTTCTGTGGGATGCCGATGTCACACAGGTACACCCGCCCTGCCCTTTCCCCCAGAGGCAGGGGCAAACCCAAGGCAAGAGACCACTTGGCATCGATGCCCTGCTCCATTTCACACATGGGAGGGTCTATACTGAGGACAGGTGCTCGGTTCTTGTTAGCCCAATCCACAGCTGCTTTGTACCATGGCTGATCTCTCAAAAAGGCATTTTCATGACAATCCAGGCAGTTTATCACCAAGTCAACAGGGGTATCAGGGAGATCTGAAAGGGAAAGAGACATCTCAATGCAAAGCAAGGATCAGGGTAGGAAAGACCTGAAAGCCATGTACTGAGTAAGGCCCAGATCCCTCCCTCCATTCCTGAAAATCTAACAGTTCTTCCAACCCAGCTAGAGGCAGCCACCTAGAAACGGTCCACTGTAGTGCTCAGGATACATTGGTAGTTTGGCACAGGTGCTCCCACACCATCTGTCCTCATAACTCAAGAGTCCAGGGATTGTGCATGGTCACCATACTGGTGAACAGTAGTTTGGGCCCATGGACAAAAGGGTAATTCAGCCTGTGGTTGAGAATCAGTTTGGTTCCCAGGCTTCTGGAAGAGTATCCAATTCATGGAAGCCATCTGAAGAGGTCATCTACTAGAACAGCTCTATCAGCAACTTTTGATTACTCAGTGATACTGCAAACGACACCTGGTTCCAAGATAAAGAGCCCAGCTGAGTAAGGCCCAGTCAGCAGAGTGGTGTCCTATTACTTATCCCCCTCCACATAAGGAGGACACTTCCTTAAGTGTTAGGCTTAAGCATTGATGCTTTTTAACACTGTCTTTATCTGACCAGCTCCCAGAGTTTATTGCAAAGACATTTCACAAACAAGTCAACACTTTGGTAGAGTCACCCAACATATGCTTTCGCTCAGTTGGTCCATCACCATTGTGTAAGTATCAAAGATATGTTTCTGTCCCTTAAAAGCTGTTACCCAAAGGGATCCATCCACTCAAAAAGCAAGACAGGCAAGAAGCATTCGCTAACAAGAGGATGAATCTGTGCAAAGCAGGTATTCTGAAGAGCATTCCCATAGTGGGAATCCATTTCCATGCACTCCTACCTTGTCTGGTGTAGCTGCCCGTTGCTTCATTTTATATGTGGAACATTATCTCTTCAAGAGCAAGACTAACTCTTTAACATGGATGGGTAGAGCACCTGGCACAATGCAGTACTGTGAACTACCTTAATACAAAAGGCTCTATACACGGCAGAAAAATGCAGTCCAGCCCCCCACCAGACAAAGGTCGATTCCCTCAGACTTTTATTACACTGTATCAGTTCATACTAGAGCAGTGGTTTTCAAACTGGGTCTGCAGAACCCTGGGATTCCAGGATAGGTCATCAGCAGGTTCACAAAGAGAATGGGAGTAATGGTGCAATGAGGTGGTGCACTGCCACAGCCAGGTTTGGTGGCCTGGCTCTGTCCCCACTTACAGAATAGCGGTAGGGGTTTCACGGCAAAAAAGAGGTGGAATTAAAGGTTCTGTGACTTTAGGAAGGTTTGAAAGCCAGCGCAGTAGAACAAGAGATCTGCACTTAGCCAACCCTTGGGTTTAGTTCACCAAATACATTTCAGCTACTTTTTGTTAGGTCAAGCACATTAACTTGATTATCAGTTATTCAACAAGATAGACAATTCTCTGAAGAGAGATTCAGAGGTTCAACAGATTTACAATGAATCTAGTAAGGGTCTATTTGTATTGGGGATATATGTATCCATGCAGCTACATAAAAGGTCCTCTGTAGTATAGACCAAGGGTTGGCAATTTATAGTCCATGGGCTAGATTGAGCCCAAAGGGAGATTATATCTAGTTTGTCAGACTGTGATAGCAGCAGTGGAGGTAGCAGTAAAAATCATCAGCATCCAGCATTCAAGGGGTGTCCACCTTCAGACAGAGTTGAGTTAACTCGGTCCACCATTGCTCAAAGGCTGCCAACCCCTGGTATAGACAGGCTCCAAAACAAAATCATCCACAGGAGTGTAAAGGGAGGAAATGCAACTTGCCGACACTAGGTGGAGCCACTGGATTGGGGATACGACACAACATCAAACTAGGTTTTTGTATTCATCAGATGGACATTAACTTACATGAACTATGAGGGCCACAAAGGTCTTTGGGGCCTGCATGCTTCACTTATATGCAAAGAATTAATTCCAGCACCAGCCTCAACTCACACCCAGCCTTCATAGGCTTGCGCTGCTCACCTTTGACACTGGAAACTTGCTGGCCTTGTGTCTTGCTGAAGAGGTTCAGCTCATTGGTGATGGGTTCCAGCATCTTGACAAAGTTGGGCAAGAAAAGGATGATGTGAACGTCATGGTTGGAAAGATGTCGCCCACAACTGATTCCCTGGGCCCCCTTCACGTGGGGACCACACAGCAAAGCTACTGTGGGCCGCTGGTGAACATTTTTAGGATTCAGCCTGCAAGACAGTAGGGTAAATCATTAAAACCAAAGCGTCCCTGCAAGAGACTGAAAACAGCACCTAGAACTTCACGTGCCAGTGGAGTTTCACAGATTTCCAAGTATTCAAACCTCTGGAAATGAGCAATCCAGAGTTCTGCCCACTCTGCAAAGCCAGACACACATCATCCTCAACTTGGTCATCACTAAATGCACTGGATGAACACTGCCCCATTTGTTGTGTCCACAGTGGAGCCTTCCAAGCCATGAACTGCAGGAGAAAGATCTTAGACCACCTAAGAGGACCTCAATCCCAGCTCATGGAAAATCTTCCATAGCATTAAGAAAATGAGGCATAGAAATGCACTGAGGGCTCATAATGTCTTCTTTGATCCATGGACTGCTGATGCCAAGTAAAGAGCAATCATCTTTTTTAAAACCCTAGACACAGGCTGTACGTGCTACATGTTACCCTTATCTCCTGCACCTGAAAAGGTAAACTGCTAACTCAAGAGTGGACACACAGGTGGTACTTGGGGAGAATGTGCTTAAGCTATAACAGTATTCTGGGATCAGCACTGGTCCTTGTATAACACACAAAGGGAACCCATGCCTTGAAAGCATGCTAGAGGGAGAAGTTAGAAACACTGTCACAGCTTCAAACTCAAGGAAGCCTAGAACAGAGAAGCCCAATGGACTGCAACCCAATACACCACAGCAGCTTGTCACGGGAGGACTGAGGCGCAAGCACATCTCACTGACTCATGCCTATAGGCATGCCTCAGGGTGCAGGAATCAGCTAGTGACAGCAAATCTCACTGATACCCAATAGATGTCAAGCAGAGAGGGATATAAACAAGAATGACATAGGGAAGTTTTGCCCATGAAGTAACCTGGAATACTGCCTAGTTTTTTATGGCCATGTGCAGGCTGCTGCATGAATCACAGGGGAAGGTTTGCACAGCTTTCTATGATACGGGATCAACATGGAGATGCAGCCACATCTGGCCACTTGGATTAGCAGGGACTTGCAAGTACAGGACAACAAGGTGAGATTTCTGTTGGGAAATTGTGACATACATTAGTTCTTCACCTGGCAAGTGAGCCATGGTCCAAAAGCTCTGTTCAGATTAAAAATGGGGAAGATTCACAGCCAGTTCTGAGGCAACCTGCTTACCTGTTGGGTCCTCCCAGTAGACTCAGTGCCATCTGGCTGGCACAGACCCCCGTCATCTCCAGCCTCCGCTCCAGTGTCAGCCCATGCTTCTCAGCAACTGAAAGCAGCTTTTTGTGCAATTCGTACGACACACTTGGAACAACCAGCCCAGAGTCTACAATTCAATGGAGGAGAGAAGGAAATAACACAAATTAGTGATGCTTTCAGAGGGTCCATTAAGAACATGGAGCACATCTACCGGAATAGTGATAGTGGTAGTGAAGACGTCAGTGGTCTCTGCAAAACAGCTGCGTACCCCTGAAGGGTGGATCAAGCAGCTGTGATCCCAGTAAGCTCCAGCAACTTTCAAGAGGATGTCATCTGCATTTGAACTAAATAACCAAGTCTATTTTGCATGTATTTTCCTTTGCCATAGAAACTACCTCTGCAAGAGGCATGAGCGCAGCTGTTTTTCTGCAGCTGGTATGTTCCTCATGAGCCCAGAGGGAAAAAAGCTGGGAAGCAAAGCGCAATCACTGACAAGGAAGGGAGTTCTTTGGCTATTACTGGGACCAATGGTCCAGAACCTGGGGTGGGAGAAAGAAAAAGAAAAAAAAAAATTACTGTCTGCAGCTTGCTCCTGGAAACTCAGCAGCAGAAACAACTTTCCCCTATGTGGACACTTGTCTTCACCAACCAACAAATCTCTGCTAAGGGAAGCAGCAAGTCTGAACAGAGCAGCCTTTGTGAACTACACTGTGAGGAAGCCACCTTCCCCAGAAAATTTGCTCTAGCCACCTGTACCAAGCTGCCACTCCCACAAACACCAATATTTTCCCCCCTCTATTACCTACAAGGTTGAAGAGCAGCTGCACAGTTTCCAAGAACTACCCTGCAGTTTTGATACCACCCTGGAATTGCAAGGATGGAACAGCCAGTGGCTGTAAGTGGAAGACATGAGCAGAAAAGACAGCTTTGCATGTGACAGCAGCATATTAAAGTCAGCAAGTTTCCTATGACCGGGCTTCAGAAGAATCCAAATAAATTTCTCTTTCTTCAGACTACCTTATTCATTAGTTTGAGAAGACCCTCTACAATCCCAAACTATTAAGTCTCTGCAGCAGCACATCACCTGCAGGAATAAAACAATGTTCTCACATCCCATGCTCATGTGCTACTGACCATCCCAAAGCACCGATTCCAGTATCTCCAAAAGCCTTGAATAGTCTTCTCTACCTGTGGTTAATCCCAACTTGGCAGGATATGGTGGCTTTCTAGGCTGAAAATGTTTTACCACTAAGCTGCAGAAGTCATTGATCTACACTGTGGAACCAACGTGGCAGCAGTTCCATCAAGTTATTCACTCCACTTGTTATACCACACACCCTTATCCTCCATCTGCCTGTTCAGACTACAAACTCTTTGGGGCCTGGACTGTCTGTTGATCACACAGTACATGGCACAATTGCCGGCCCTTTGTTGACCCCTGACAAAAATGTGGGGGGGGGGGG